ACTAATGAAAAGTTCTTTCATTAGCTTTTGTAGATAAGTAAATGATTTTAAAAGTAAAAAAAACATGTATTTTTTAATATTTTTCACCATATTTTATTTTATTTTTTTTAAGTAAAATATATGACATGATACAAATAATGGTATGTAACACCACAAAAGTGTTAAAACAGCCATGGTCCTTAACATACAATATGGCCAAAACAGTCCAGTCCTGAAGGGGTTAAAGTTACTGAGATGGAAAAAAAAGCTGGGTTTGATATTTGTTTTCCTATTCAGCTTATTTGGCCTAAGATTTAAAAAAAAAATAAAAGTCAAATCTTCATAGTTCCCATTTAATCTCCAATTTTATATTCTGATCACTTTCTCCCTACTGTGTTTCTTGCAATTTAATATCCCTCCTGTATCTAAACTTTTCTTTTTCCTGTTCTCTCTGTATAACCTTGTATTCACTGTACTGCAATCCATGAGCATGCCAAACCTAAAGTATGACGTTCCCTGTTGCAGCCTTAGTTTACAATTTCAAATCCTAATCTGAGCCTTTTAACAGGACTGCCATATAACATAATTCATACCGGTATTCATGTTCTGCGCTGCAGTAAGTCGATGCTCTTAGGGAAGGATTAAACATTTCCCCCGTGTGGACTGTAGCTAGTGATCTTCCCTTCTGCTAGCAATGCATGTGATGTATTCCACGTGGGCCCCATGGGAGCTTCTTACAGACTGTTTACTTAAAGAAGGCTGCCTGTATAGATAAAACCCTACCAATACTGAACAACCCTGAGGTGGAGTTCTATCAGTGTCTCTATGAACCTCATAAGTGCTTTAAATCTCCATACAAACTGCAAGTCTTTGTATTAAGACCAGTGAAGGCAGGTCCAACAGTTTTTGTTGCAAGAGAAAACTGTATCTGTTGTTATAGTAAAGGATAATGATAAGTGCTTATTTAAAAACCAACGCTACTTCTACCTTAATCAATTTTGCAAGTTTCCTTCCCATCCTTATTGATGGTTAGGGATGCTGATGAGAGTCTGAGCAACTAATCATGTAAAGATTTTAAGGCATTTTTGAAAAAATAAATATGCTTAGTTCGCTGTAAGAGTATTTATGACATCACCAATTGGCTATGCATTGGGTCATGAAATCCTGGGTGCCCTAAAAGTCAGACCTCTGTATCATCATAATCAGATCAGTCCTCAGAGTCACAGCCCCAGTCCTGCAGTTTGAAGCTTTAAGACGTTTCAAGTAGCCACAGCATTAGTGTCTCAGCTGTAGATTGACTGATACTTTTATAGAAGGTGGTGGGTATGTGCAGTATGAGTTATTAAAAATATTGTGACAGATAGCACAATGCTCTGTGTCTTCAATATCCCCCTCCTGTTGTAACCCTTGGGCTTTCTTGGCTTTATATATATTAAAGAGACACTATGGTCAACAGAACAACTTTATCTTAATTAAGCAGTTTTGGTGTATAGATCATGCCCCTGCAGTCTCACTTCTTAATTCTCTGCAATTTAGGAGTTAAATCCCTTTGTTTATACAACCCTAGTCACACATCCCTGCATATGTCTTGCACAGCCTTCCTAAACACTTACTGTAAAGATTCATCTAATGTTTACACTTCCTTTATTTTAAGTTCTGTTTCACTTAGAATTTCTCATCTTCTGCTCTGTTAATAGCTTTCTAGACCCAGCAGGAGCCTCTTACAAAGCAGGAGATAAAAACCTTTAAAGTTAGTTGCATTGGATTGAAAATGAAACCATTTTGTTTTCATGCCAGCTGTGTCAATCACAGCCAGGGGAGGTGTGGCTAGTGCTGCATAAACAGAAACAAAAGTGATTTAACTCCTAAATGGCAGAGTATTGAGCAGTAAAACTACAGAGGCATGATATATACACCCAAACTGCTTCATTAAGCTAAAGTTCTTTTGGTGACTATAGTGTCCCTTTAATATATTCCATTGCTTAATCAGCCCTCACGCATTCGCTGGGGCTATTGAGGGAGAGAAAAAGATAATATTATAAACTTAGATTTGACAGGGGCCAAGTGCTGCTGCGATACTCTCCCTGTGCTGCCTTCAAGATGGCTTCTTGCTTCTCTCTCCTGTGTTCATGGTAACTCCACCACCTGATGCTATCAGCCAATGATGGCCCCTGAATAGAGAAGACAATAGCAAGCCTCTACTTAGTCGCAACCCAACTGAAATTGCTGAAATTGCTTCTTAAAGGACACTTGGTACAGTGCCAGCCTTAAGGGTATGCGAGCTGTGCGGCCGCACAGGCCGCCAACACAGCTCCCACCCAGTGGTGAACCAGCTGGGGTGGTCAGAGATTTCCACATCTGGCTCACTAACACTCAGGGCCCCTGGTAGTAACATGGCCGAGCAAATTATATTGAAAATTAAGCTTTTATCCCTAAGATCTCTATGCTGATCTTACTGTGTCATTTACTGGTGTGAGGAAGGGGTGGGAATATGACATCACTTCATATCCCCATCCCCGTCTCGCATGCACCTCACCCATGTGATATGGCTTCAGTGTGGAAGCAGGATGTAGGAGTAACAAACCAGCTCCTCAAGCTGCACACTGCCTGAGGTAGGATCACAGGAGAAAAAATATGTAAAGAATAAATTATATAAACACAAATTCATATCTACTGCCACAATGCACAAATACCCCCCCCACAGATTTACATACTGCTACTTTACACAAATTCGTATCCACTGCCCAATACACAAATACACCCCCACATTTACACACTGCTACCTTACACAAATTAATATCTACTGCCACAATACACAAATACCCCCCACACACATTTACACACACTTCTATACTACACAAGTACACACTAAACACTTTCATGCTACAGAATACAGTCTAAAAGAAAAAAATAAGAAAAGCCGTAACACTCATGTTTATATTTAAACTGTTTAGTACATAATTCCCTAATATGCAGCCCTTATGTGGAATTGCCCACATTTATGGATACCAAATTAGGGAGCTGTTTAATAGATAACTAATTTATTGTTATCCATAAATATGGCAATTCCATATAAGAATAGCAAATTTAGGAGTTATCTACTAAACAGCTGAAAGATCAAAATTACGAAATTAGTTTTCTTAGTTTTATTCTTAGTTTTGATATTTCTCTAATGTTGGACTACTATATTTAAGGATACCAAAAAATTTTTGCAGTTCAGTAGATAACTCTCTTATTAGGTATCCATAATAGCACATAAGGATACCAAATTAGGAAGCTATCTATTATAATCTTAATTTTTTAGCTGTATATAGATGATGGTAGCTCTCCATCCATTTACAAACTAGGTATTTGGACCTCATGCGGAGAAAGTTGTGGACCCCTGTTTTAAATTGAGGGAGGACCAGGATGAAGGGCCATGGGTTTGGTATGGTCAGGAAGGGACACTGTGAAGATATATCACACAGGGCCTCTAGAGGCCTAAGGCCGGCCTTGACTAGGTATGTGCAAATCCTGAAACAGGGTAGATTTCAGACCTGCCCCATTTTTTGACACGCCTAGATACTCTCAGTTAGGCTTCTCCAAACAGCTACCAATAAAGGGCAGAACTGAAACCTATTACAAAATTAAATAGACACTATTTTTTCCCATATTTCTTTGGGTTACCGCCCTCACATTCAGTAAGATAATCTCAGTGTTTCTAAACAACTGAAAATAAATTATTTACCCCACATAAAAACTGGTGGGGCGCTGCTTCAAGTGCGCCAATGGACGAGCCTCCACTGATTGGGTTACTGCACCCAGCAGCCCACTAGGCATGAATATATGTGAAGTATCTTGGCTGGTGCTGTGTGAAGGTGCTTAGTAGATGTAATGGGTCAAGCTAAGACCCCTAACTGTTACAACTCATCATAATGGTCACGATGCAAGGAAGCTAAAATAGGAAAAAAATATCAGCAATTTCCAGTACACAAAGATAACACTACACTGCCTGCACCGTTATACAAAACTGTGTACTACAGTTTAACCTTTCAGGTGATCTGCGAAACAAAAGCTGTATGGTGGAAAAATCATGCTTTGAGACTCTATACAAGTCTATTGATGGTAGACTTCACCTGGAGAGACGTAATTAAAACTGCAAAATACAATTATCAATGTCAAACATTTAGATGGTAATTGTGACTTTTAGATTTCTTGAGAATATGTCTATATTTTGTTAACCAGCAATATAACTTGGTAAAGAACTTTCCCTGTTGGTTTGAATATGACTTGATGGTAATCACTTCGTGATTGTATTGCAGTTGTAGGACTTGCATTATATTCAGAGACAAAAATGTCTTGTAGCTTAATTTCTAATATAGGTAAAAGGCACATGTTGCCAGTGCCAAACAATGGAGCAGCAACAGGTCAATAAAGCACTCTGAATGTCTGTGAATGTTAAAGACAAAGATAATGAAATTTGTGGCCAGGACATTTATTCTAATATAGCAGAGTGTGTGCTAGGGGAATGAATTGCATTATTACTTGATCATAGGCCAAATTAATTGATAAAATCATAAAAGAAGTAGTGTTGCTGGAAGCTATTTAGCATTTTTGATGTAAAAAAAAAAAATCAAATGTCCACGGTGGTATGATGAAGTAATTGATTGCTTTAAAATATGTTAAACTGTGGCTGCCAGAAGCCCTATTCATTATTGGAGTATAAATATAACGATGCTCAGGCCTTCACTTTCAATGTGGCAAGCAGGGTAGCAACCCAGGGCCCCTGTGCTTTAGAGATCTCCCACGTGCAGGGTCACATTGGATAATAAGTGGGTAGGTTCTTTGGCATTTCTGCCATTCACTTCAAATGGTCAGCAGTGTGGCAGAACTTTTCGTGGATTTCCCCTGTGTTTCACATGTATTTTCCCTGTATTTTCGTTTGTTATGCCCGCTACCCGTTCGGGAGGGATCCCACAAAGGGGTTTGCAATTTCGACACTTATGTTGCGAGGTGATTGGGAGGTGTGAACATTGTATACTAACATTCTAAATGAGGTATTGGGGTGGTCCCTGTTCGGGACGTGAATTAATCCCCTTCGTGGGATCCCTCCTGAACGGGATTAATTCACCACCCGAACAGGGACCACCCCAATACCTCATTTAGAATGTTAGTATAGAATGTTCACACCTCCCAATCACCTCGCAACATAAGTGTCGAAATCGCAAGGGAAAAAAATTAATGAGTGCTTCCCTGGGTGACGGCCATTCGTACAGGCGACCGCCACCAGGGGAAGCATTAGTGGATTGTTTCACAACTTGTTCATATCCAGAACGAGAGCCTCCCCAGTGTCCCATTAGAACGTTCACACCAATTATTCAGAATGCTTGCACCCACAACATAGGTATGAAACCGCAAGGGAAGTAATTAATGAGTGCTCCCCTGGGTGGCCGCCGTTCGTACAGATGAACGCCATCCAGGCGGAGCATTCGTACCCCGAAAGGAGACGTTTCCCTTGTCTGGGTTTCACACCAGGACCTCGCAAACAGAGACTAGTCGATTTAGGGACCGAGGTGAGGATCCCTGAGATTGGTGTGGGCACTTCTGGCACACTGGCAAGTTTGGCGGGCTCTCATGAGCTCGAGGGACAAAGAGACCATCTCTTTTCCTGCGGGCGGGCTTTTCTGTGCCTGGGAGACAAAAGGACGGTCACTTTTTCCTACGCCTAGACTCCCAGGCACAGAGGCTCTTGGGAAGAAGACCCCTGGCGGTTGGTGAAGGGAACCCCGATGATTTAGGGACAAAGGGAATGGACAAAGGGAATGGAGTCCCTTCCTGCGCTGGGACCACCTTGGGGAGGGGTAGGATTGTGGGATGTGTCTTTGTATGTGAGTGTGATCCACCCCTTGCACGGGGTATGCATAAAAGCTGGATGTAGTCAATAAAATTGTGTTGTACCTCCAGGACTGTGTGTCGTCCGGTTACTGGGAGTAAATGGGTCCCTTTACACTCTGAGTGGTTCCTGAGTGGCTGAAGGCAAGGAATTAGCGGAGGTAACCGTTATGGTTACCAAGGATCCGCTACAAGAAACTCAATTCTTTTACATGCCACACTGACTGACTGAATACCCTGCCAATCGTAGAGCTGGCTCTTCCTTCTGTGAGGTCATGGAGGAGTGTATCTCACAGTGGGATGTGACACCATTGATTTTCTCTCTGTTAACGATGCATGCCACTATAGTTATATAACTATGTCTCCAAACTGTCCCGATTTTGGTGGGACAGTCCTGAGTTTTGGGTCCTGTCCCACCATCCTAACTTAGTTCCCTGGTGACCTGCTCACAATATGTTCAGGATACTAGGACCCTGCAGAAGGCACTGAAACAGTGCTCGCCACAGAGTCTGCCCTCACTGGGCTTGTTAAATGATTGCAGGCAGCCCGGTATACATTTATGCCACACTGACATGCCAGTAATTCGGGTGGACCCGTCCACTTTGAAGTGGAGCCAGTGATTATTGAGTCACTTTAACCCTTTCTACCAGCATGCTGCTTCTCTGGTGGGAGGTTTGGTATAACAGTGTTTACACCATGCTGTATTACTTCAGCATTATCTCATCATTCTGCAAAGTCCAAAACTCAACCATTGACAGGACTGATGTACATACTATAGCCATTGTTCTACAGTACATGTGTATTGCTAAAATGTTGAATAAAATATTAATGAAAAAAGATTATTGTTAAAACTACCATAATATTTGTAGTAACCTTGTTCTTAAGTAATTGCATTTTTAAGCAATTGTTTTGATGAATTTTGAGGCATAATATGTTTACATTACTCTACAGATATAATTCTTTTACCACAAACTATACAAAATAAATACTATACATATCTACTCATTAAACTAGTACAATATCTGTCAGGGATATGTAATAATGCTATTAACAAAACACTTGTATGTATTAGCATGGAATAGCTGCAGGGCAAAGAGCAAAAACACTGTTTAATCACATAGAATAGTGACTTGCACCAACTTAATTTAGCAATGTTCCAATGTAAATCCAACTACATAATGATTATGCTTTTACAAACATTCTGTCAAAGTTAAATGACCTTAAATGCACCACAGCATCTGTTTAAAAATCTAATGCAATTAAGGGAAGCAAGACCCACAGACTCGGAGCTTGGTTACAAAGAAAAATTCAAATAAATTCTGTGCAACAGCAGAGACACAGCTAAGTGCAGACTTTTTTTTCCCTTCAGTCATCACATTTTCCACGTGTGTTGCAAAATATGTGACAGGGAAAAAAATGTATTTGCAAAATCCAGGCCAAAATAGCTGCATTCAAAAAAACCTCCAACTCAGCTGGACTACTTTAGTCTGAATTTTGCAATCCAGTTATAAATTCACTCATATTCATTTTATTTAAATTATTATTATTTTTTTTTATAAACTCCATATTATTTAGGATAACAGCACAGACCTCTAGCTGTTTCTATCGCCAATCTCACTGTAACCTGCCCTTCTTGGCTGGCTCCCTGTTCGTCTTGCCAGAAGAGAAATCTAGAGGATTCCCTGTGTGATGACGCAAGACAGAAGTTCTCTGCAGTAACAAAACAAAATAGCATTGTATACTTGATCTGTCTGCTATTTCATCAGGCAGATAATGGTTCAGAATCCTAGTCATGTTTTCAAGTTTAGACTGCAGTCAGTTTTTAGTTCCCTCTAGTTAGAAGTGAAAAAAAACAAAAATGTTTGATGTTACTGTGAGAAAATAAATAACGGATGGTGAGGTTTTAAGATGCTGGGGTGCCAGATATGCCCAGAATTTTGCTCCTCCATATACAGTACAGAGATACTTATACCATGCAGAGAGCTGAGCATAATATAGAGATGCTCGTACAATCAAAAAAAACTGAGCACATCATAAGGATATCTATAAAATACATAGAACTGAGCAATGGAGACTCGTCCTTAGGGACAGAAGGAATTTCAGGAATTTCCATTAAGTTTCCATTTGGGCAGCAGAGCCAGCGGCCCATGAGTTGAACCATGCTATTGGCCTCTCTACTCAGGGGCCATCATTGGCTGATAGCGGGTGGGGACGGGTTTAAAGTTCCTAAAGGAAGGAGAAACAAGCAGCCATTTTGGAAACAACACAGGGAGAGCACAGCAGCAGATAGAAAAAAACTAATGTCTCTTTAATTTTGGTTTCACTATAAGACACTTATGCATTTTTAAAGTGATACTTATATAAAAAGCACTTCATTTACCGATTTTGCATGCACTTTAAAGAGTTTTACACCGCAACTTTTATATTGGTTAATATTTTTAATGTGCATACATGTATGGTTGTAGTCTACATGAATGTATGTATCTATGTTAACAATTCAAAGGAGGAAAAGCTCATTATTTGTTTAATTGAAATTCTATACACACGCACACTGATGACTTTGTATATAAAAGATTTGATGAGAAAATATGACTTTTAGATTGGAGAACGGGCCAAAACTTGCCCAAGGCCCCCGTTAGCATTAATATGGGCCTGTTCAACAGAGAATCTTTCAGAGGTTAACATTTTTAATTGCACTTATTTTATTATTTTAATCCATTATCTACATAAAGCATGAATATTTGGTGAAAAGTGAACACTTGAGGGTGGATTTTAACTAAAAGAAAGAAAATATGCTAAAAAAAACTATTTTCTTTCTAAATTACATAAATGTACTGCAAGCTATATATTTGCATACACATAAGAAAGATAAGCCCAGAAAAGCTTGTGTGGACTATTACTACAAGGAACTCATTTGTTAAACGATTTGGACTTTTAACAGAGATTACAGAAAGCACCATGTGTGGAGTAAGACAGGTAGATTAGCATCTATTTCTAGCATGTGAGCATCAAAGGCACAGAAGCAATTTTAAGGGTTGTGATTATACCTGAAAAGGAAGACATTATATCATATTATATATCAAATTATAGTCTTCATTTTATTCTAAGAGATATAACCATAACGGCAATACATCTAATTACAGAGAAATAATGTGATCACAATCTTTTACATTTAACTGTGTCTCAAATGTTATAGGTTTATGGGTGATTTGGATCTATATAACTATGCAAGTGACACTAGAAATATTTTTTTCAGTACAGGTCAGTTTTATATTTTCTGAAACTGATATCTGTTAGGAAATGTTTATATGAAGGTGCACTTGAAGCACCATAACCACTACATCTGCCATTGTGTTAACGGTGCCATAAATATCCAGGCACAGCTATGGTGTAATTTGTCAAAATGTTTTAGAACAGGTACCAAGGCAGTCCTAACACCATAATCACTACATTAAAGCAGATCTGTCACTTCCGAGAATTTCATAAAGATGAATTCTTTATGAAATTCTCAGGCAGACTGCGTTGGAATTGCTTTGGAATTCCAATGCAATCTAAAGACACTTTGAGTTAAAGTAGGGACAAATTTGTCTTATGGACAAACCTGTTTTTTTTTTTTTCAATGCACTCAATTACTATGAACATTCTACTTGATTCATTATTACACTTGGTCCTATATGCAAAATACTAAGTAATTATGTTTTAATATATTTTTTTAGTGATCTATGATGGCCAGAATAGAGGAGTTTTAGTCCCGTAAGAAAACGATGCCCTAGTGACATTCAGTCCTGCCTCACAGAGCACTATGGCTGGCCATCCATAGTATGCCGTGGATGTATTGTTGCGTGAGCATAAATACTCTGAATTGGGAAAAAATATTTAAAATCTAACAATGGTGCTACCATTTTTGGGGAATTTCCCCAAACCACGGGTTGCAGGGTAGGTGTCCCAAAGTGTAATAGTTATAGGAAAGTACAATTGTATGATACAGGATTTGTGATCTGACTTGTATAGCGGATATTTGAAACAGTGAAATGTCAGAATATCATAATGTGCAAAAACAAAATCTAAATCAGTGTACAAAATGTGATAATTTAACCTTATTATGGCCTATTGCATTTCTTTCATTTTCCTTTAAGTGTTCTGGTTTATTTTAAATGTATTCCAAAATAAGAATCAGAGACATGTCTAGTAACCACACAGCTGGCTTAAAAAGTATTCAAATATCAGAAGCACTTTCAATACCATAAATTAAGTATTCTATCCCAGTT